TTTCATAATATGTGTTGCAAAAAAAAAAAAAAAGAAAAACTGATCACAACCAGGAATCTAAAGGCTCTGTTCAGCCAACGGGACAGAGATAAAAGAGATGTAAGAGGAAACAGAGGATGCTAAGGTAATCCAGAGGACTTCCACTCAACTGCGAAGGTATTCCTCTTCTATTGCAAAGACGCGATGGTATTCTCTGGGTTTTATTACTGTAATGTACTGTATTACAAACTAAGGCAGTGTTTAAGCAGACCTGCTTTAAAAATCACTTCAAGTTTCCTGTGTGCAGCTACAGGTTGTCGTTTTTTTTTTTTACCACCCATTTGGCTCCTCTATTCCAATGTTATACGACCACAGTTAAGAAGTTTGTCAGATCAAGTGATACTTTTGTGTCTTTTAGTGAAGTTTTATCAGCGAATTGATCAATTATTATCATCCACAACCTCGTATACAACGAGGTCAACAAATATCTTCACGTTCACCCCTTCAAGTATTTGGTGAGCTCTGTAATACCAGCATAGCAGCTCTATTTGCACAGTATAAGTAATGGTTTTGGATCTTAATGAGAATAAATTGAATCAAATCTATTGCTGATCCCAAAAGTCTAGTTGTTGATCCATTGCTTCGGTGGTCAATGACTCTTAAAATACAATCCTAGAGTGCAGCCGAGCTATGCCTTTTTTCTTACGACTATAAAATCGGCAAAGCTCTAACTTCGGCTTAAACCTCACCGTGTTAAGAGCTACCAGGAAAGCAGGATCTCTAATGAGAACGAAAGCAATGACAACAAGAGTAAAAAAACAACAGCAACACATCCTCTTTGTGGTCATAAATAATAAAAAAGCCATCACCCTTCTTCTTGCACCCGTCAATATCAATATGTCTAGAAGGAGACTGTGTTCTTGGCATTGCACTTAACTACAAGACAGCCTTTCTCTCTGTGCACTATTAGCTTGAGATTGACCTGCTCCTAAAAGGCCAGAGGGGGGTCAGAGGTGGAGTGTTGTGAAAGCAGCACTTCCACATCTACCTGACACTATCAACGAAAAGAGACACACATACACAAATACGTACTGTCTCAACATACAGGAGCAGCTCTGCGTTAGCGACTCCCATTAGACACTTCAACCTCCACTTTAATGAACACCGCGCCCCCTGCCCCCCAAAATCCTCTCTCTCTCCTCTTCCCCCCCTCCTCCAATCCCAGAGCCAGCCTTGCGGCACACTCCAATGTTAGAGACTCAGCATGTTTTCAGCGTGGTGCGGACGCGCTCTCAATCATCATTAGGGGTTTTTGCGGAGTCCTGGGGTCTGGGAAACTTGCCAGAATGTGTAAAAGTTTCCACGAGGAAAGCCTTGAGTTGCCTTCGGAGGCATCAGTGGTGGACGGAGATCCTCAGGAAGGTTAGAATGCCTTTTTTTAATTTTATTTTTAAGTTGCCAGAGGGAGGGAAGGCAAGGAGGAAAGGAGAGCCGACAACAATTCTGTTTTCATTTTGAGAAAAACAAGCCTAGTAGAGTTTCAAATGCATCAACCTTGAATTGGGGAGGAAACAATCACAAGGAAAACTACCCTGAAACACGAGGCAATCAGAGCGCACATGTCAAATGTCAGAAAATCGACAGAGGCTGCGTTGCACCCTGTGTTTTTCTTATTTTGGGGAATAAGGGCCCTCTGTTTCCCGGAGAGGCAGCTGGTAGAAATCTGGCCCTCTGATTAGCACTAGCTCATTTGCTGTCTGCTGCGTTCAGCTGCACTTCATATCACCCATCGCAGCGGCAGCTAATGAGACAGGACACACGGCAGCAGCCTCACAGGACCAAACAGCCAGCGCACTACGTCTGCTCTACACACACACACACACACACACACACACACACACACACATCTGCAGCAAAACACCTATAAACACCAGGAATAGAGCGCCAAGTGAAGGGTTTCGCAACAAGTGATGTGGGGAACTTTCCAAAATAGCTTGTGTAAAAAAAAGAAGAAAAAAGCCACGTTTAATATCAAAGGTGTCCATGCGTGTTCACGTGGGTATATGTGGACGGACATGTGTGTCAGTGGTTGTTTGAGACAAGAGGGGGGTATGATGTCACCAGGAGTGCTCTTTCAGACGTGTGACAAAGCCTGTCGTCACTTTAGCAAATTTTTTTTGGGCCTAATTTGTACGGCTAACACGGCAAACTCAAATGCGGCAGACTGTGTTTTTCATAAATTCTATTTTTGTGCGCACTGATGTCATTTGACTGGCATTTTGCTCACAGTCATGTGCCTTGTAAAGTACAGATAGTGGGCTGTGAGCAAGCAGGAAACATCTGAAAACTTGGGTTTTATTTGAGTCCCACCACGCGTTGTTTACGACGGTGAGTCAACGACGGTGAGTCAACAACGCAACCAGGCAGAGTCTTCCAGGAGCGCTGGGTGTTTCATCCTCAACCCCATATACTCTGAACCCCGCTGACCTGCTGCTTTATGAGAAGTGAGACTGAAACAGGTGAGAGCCAACACGCCACCGAGTGAAAACAACTTCTCCCACGTCGATCTGACTGCCAACTGGATTCTTCCCATAAAATCTTACTGCAGACGCCCTGAATCGTTGCCTCGTGTCTTGCACTATAGCTAGTAAGCTTCTATCGCAGCAGAGGGAAGAGTTTAGCAGATTACAATGGAGACTGTGTACGGCAGTCAGGGGGGTTTACATCCCAGACTCCCTCCGCATGCTAACCAAGCTCCTCGCGGTACAGTAGCTCACCGTTGATAAGTTGAGTGATTTCTCAGGGGCTGCGTAAAATCTGGGCCTGGCCAGAGAGACACATTTCCTCTGGCTGATGAGAGCCGGAGGCCTCGGCGTTCGAGCGTGGGAGGCGCTCTGCTCTTGGGGAAGATCAAGTGTGCTCCCGCAGACTCCAAATCACCGGCCCCCAATTGCTGGAGAGGAACGCTGCTCTACATTGCTGGCGTTAAATCACCGCCGCTGTGGTGAGGTCACCCCCCCACCTCTCCCCTATAATGGAGTGCTCGGCTCGCTAACGTATGGTGGTAATGCGTGCGGACGTGGAGCGGGACGCCCTGCGAGCTGCCTTCCGATCTTATTTATTTTAGCTTAGGGCTCATTTGGGGGGTTTAGGATAGGCCCAGGCCCGGGAGCGGTAGATGCTTTTGGAGTATGCTGTTACCACCGCACACTTACAGGGACTCAGCGAGCTCACCACAGACGCTTGCGCAGACGTTAGGTGATGCAAAACGGCAGCGCACTGAGGTTTTTCAAAGGGGCTGTTTCACTGTCCTTGGGTCAATCAATACGCATTCCTGCACGTCCCTAATGCAACTGTAATCACTGGCTGAATACATTTGGCCACCGGGTTGGAGAGCGAGGGAGCCTGCTAAAGTGACAGTGGATGGAGTAGTCGGGAAGAGAAACAAGATTACATGATTTCACCTTAGCACTGCTATGTACATTTGGTGTATCTTCGTACTGTTGGTGTAAAAGGACCCCTTTCCAACCTTATTACAAAATGCTAAATAAAGCTACAGTTTCACTTCATCCAATTAAAGCTGAAATGAAAGCTCCTGCCTGCCACAACTATTGAAAACAGCCAGAATTTCAAATGAACAGTTTTGCTTCAAAGTAGATTTCCAGAGCATTGCCATGAACTCAAGAAAATGAGGCAAGAGAAAAGGAAGAGGAGGAAAAGCGGGAGAGAGAAAAGAAACAAAAGTTGGAAATCAGTTCATAGAGCTGATAACAGACAGACACC